TTTCTGCAGAGTGCTGATAATCTCCCATCTCCCCCTCCCCATGTATTCCTCCTTTTTAATCATGTGCCATCCTGCACTCACATTTTTCACACGTCAGCTAAACACACTCCCATCAGAACATTTATTACTGGCAAAAAGCAACTTTAACCATTAGTTTCCTGAAGAGGGGGAAAAAAACCAACAAAAAACCTCTATGCAAAACTTCTCCAAAGCCATGCTGCCTAAATACTGCCCAGCTACTGTGCTGGAATTTCTGGCCCCTTCAGTACTCACAGCTTCCCATTCACAGACAAAAGAGCAAGTAAAATGAAGCTGACTTACTGCTATGGCTTGCAGCCTTTCCTTGTGCAATTCTGCCTCCGCCATCCTGGAGAAAAGGACACAGGGAAAGAGAGAAAATACACACTGCAGTCACCAAGGGAAACTGAGTTACACGCCACAGAGTATCTGCAAAGAAAGCTGTGTTCCTGTGTAGTAGTCAAGCACTTCTGGAGGCACTGCAGACTGGCTCACGGTAGGATCATTTTAGGCACTGGACCAGTGCCTGCCTGCCTGTCTTCCAGCTGTACAGCTAACTGCATTTCATTGCTGCTTCTGTGTGCTGTTGCTGTCACACAAGCCATGTATGTGCTCTGAAAGCAGCTGAGTGCAGGGATAGCTCGCATGGCTATAATTTTTTGGCTTGACATCTCAGCTCATTTGCTCCTCCTATGGAGTGCTGGGTCACGACAGGAGTTGACATCAGTAGCATGCATAGTAATCAGAACCTGCATGAATGCAGTAGAGGAGGGAGAGGGCTGTACTGCAGCATGTCCTTAATGAGGAACTCTAAAAAGAGGGGGGTAGGGGGACAGAGGGATTTCAGCAGTGGTAAAAGAGTTTCGCACTGGAAGCTGAAAAACTAAACTGGTTTGGCCAGAGAAAAGGACATAGCTCAGGGGACTAGAGGGGAACAATACACAGTTGTGCATTCAGACTACTGCACAATAGTTTGCGACTGCAATAATACAGCACGTACAAAGAGCCACTAAAGTGGTGGCTCTCCAGGAGGATACTTCAGAGGGGAAGGAAAATCGACCCCACAGATTGCTCATACTTCTTACACACTGAAGTGCTACATTAAAAGAGTGTCAAGGTTGCAAAGCCAAGCACTCAGAAATGGAAGTATATCATTATGTAATTAAAGACCACATCACAATGCATACATACAATGGGGATGGATTAAGATCACAGATGCAGTCTTAATTCTGGCATTGCCTCATTTTTGAGGGCTTGACTTGCAACATTTTAATGCAGAAAGAGAGTGAGAGAGAAAGAATGTGTGTGTTCATCATCACACAACTGGCTCATCAGCAGGGAGACTTCAGATCCTCTGTATAGACCAATGGTTCTAAACATTTTGTGTGCCAGGACCTGGCTGTAAGCATCAATGGCCAATCCCGACTCAGTGCTCCCCACTCCCAACCCTCTTCCCCCTCCCCCAGGCCCCAGCCCCTGCAGTGTGTTGGGCATGGGGGCCCCAAGCAGCCCCATGCAGGCTGGAATACTGACAGCCTGCAAGAGAAAAGCTATCATTTCCCACATTTTTCTCCTTTAAAGGACAATCTATTTTTAAAGTTTGTTGATCCATTTTTAAAGTTTGGTAACGACCCTTTCATATATTCTTGCGACCCATTTTTGGGTCACAACCCATGGCTTGAGAAATGCTGGTATAGACTACTTTCACATTAGCTGATAGAGAACTGGCAGCAGTAGTAGGCTGTCACCCACTTGGTGTGCCAGGACAAAAGAGTGTTTGGAAACCACCAAGTTTCAGAAATACATGCCACTGGCAGAGGCATGCCTATATTCAGGAATCTTTAGTTCCTTTGAGTTTCTGTAAAGCCAAACCAGCCTGCCTCTAACCCTCCCTTCAAGTCCAAGTCTCCCAGTCAGGTCTTGTCCAAATTTTAATCTTTACCCCCATGCTTAGCTCACAATGCTAGTGAACTTCATTGATTCTTGCATCATTCTCCTTACACTGTTGAGGGTAATTCTCTTATACCTTCTTCCGATTGATCTATTTCTACCCACTGCCCTGCCTCCCAAAGCTCTATTACAAAGCCCATGGGCTCCTACTCTTGACTTTTCAGTCTAATCTCCTCTAATATTGCCAGTGGCTTCTTGTTCTAATCCAGTGGTGCTCAGTCCCTCTGTGGTCTGGATAAGGGGCGCAGAGCTAACCCATGGGTCAGTCCTGCAGGTGGAATCCAACAATGAGCTAGATCCAGCATGGAGTTGGCATGTAGGGTCAGACAGCAGGTACAACTTCATGTGCCAGCATGATCCAGTGTGCAGGACTGCATCATCCAGCTCATAAGTCTCCCCACAGATCCAGAAGTGTAGTAGTGGGGGTAGTATTAATTGCTGTGAACTACCCCCTGGCAAAAAGAATGGGAGAAACGAGGCAACAAACTGTTGAATGGAGCTGGCAAGGAATTACCCCTGGTGAGGAGTTAGCATCTGGCTCCAATTACAAATGGCACACATGGTGGAGCCTAAGCAGACTGACAGTGGGTCTCGGCAGATGCAACTCTCTCATGAGATCATGAGGCCTCTATGTTGAGCTAAAGTTAATTTGCCTTTATATACTCTTGATATTGCCTTTATAATATGCTTTATTATTATTTTATAACCAATATCCATTTTAGTTTGCTCAAATAACTGCAACTTAGTCTTAGTTGAGACTCCATTTTGATTTTTACATTGCTTAGTGCAAGTGTAACAGTCATTTTGTTTTGTGATTGTGTAGGTTAAATATAGTATCAGAGAAGTGCTGTGTATGTAAGGCTTGTGGTACGTCTGGGATGTTTGAAAAGAGGTAATGAAAGAATAAACAGCATGTGTGGAAATGCATATGTTAAGACAGTCTGTCATGCACCTGTAACTAGAAGGATAGAAATAGCCCTCTGTGATTTAACAGCCAAAGGTTACAACAATGTCCAAGATCAATGGTTAGGAACTACAAAATACAAGCTCATGTTTTGTTCTAATGGCTGAAAAAAATTACTGACAATAGATGAAAAAAATTGTAGACCACAAAGACAGAACAGTCTGTCAGTCATAATATCATCATCAAAGGATCATTTCGAGATCAAGAGGATGATGCAGTAGAACCCATAGATTTGTATGGGGAACAGTTACTATAAAGATGGACAAGAACAAAGAGGCTTTGGGTCTGTCTTGCACAGAAGCAGCAGCAGCAGCAGCATCAGAATGCGTCCGACAAGACCTGGCTTCATGCTCATGGTTAACTTGGCTGGCCACCAAGCTAACCTGAGCATTTTAAGGACTGGTAATATCTTGATATTTGCAGGACTGTCTTTCTGTCTCTTTTTGTATGCATGTAAATAAATGGATATGTATGTGTAAGTGTATGAAGAGGAAACAGTACCTTTATGTTGTTTTTTTTCATTTCTTTTATTTGTCTTATGTTTTCAATAAATGTGGCATTATGCTTTATCCCCAGATAAGATTCCCACTTGTTAATTCACATTGTACCCCCTATGCATACAACATCTACACAGCTGACCAATGTGTTTGTCAGAAGCAAACCATGGATCATCTTCTGAGATGCACTATAGCACCACAAGGCACCCCACAAAATTTGGGAATACCAAAATCAGCAGCAGTGGCCTGTGCAGAAGAGAGAGACCAGACCATATGTAAAATTTGGACTGGGGAAACAATGATGATGATGAATTATTGTGGCTTCCAGGACCAGAGGTTTAGCACTACTATTCTATTCTATTTCCACTGTTCCTCCAGGTCTTCCCTCTGCCTCTCCACATGGCAAGGTTTGGCTTTCATCCCCTCTGAATTCCAGCAATTATGTTTCTCCAAGGTGCTAGGCCCAGCGTCAGGGGCACTGATAGCAAAGGACAGATAGTCTCCCTGCTCTGAGTTGTGGTGCTCAGTCCCACAACAATGAAGAGGAGCAGTTGCATGGAAAGTCCTGCAGCTATGTGCTAAAGCATGACCAGCATGGATGGAATCTTTGGATAATTTAGCACCAAACTCTTAACAAATCTCTGCTGAGCATGTCTGAACTGAGAATCCTCAAAGATTTATTATCTGATGATTTTGAATAAATTGTCAGGGAGACCGCCAAAGGCACATACATATTCCGTTATACCAGGTCAATACTCTACTGCAGTGGTTGGCAATGGTTTGTAAAGGCTGGCTGGAATGACTGCTTGGGTCCAAGCTGAGACAGTGCTAGGACCTGGCCACTGCCACCACCCCCACTTCTCATCTTCAGTGCCTGGCGAGATGTCAGATGAAGCTCCATGTTGCCTGGCTGCAGTGCCAGGATAAATCATCCAGCTGCTGAAATGCCACTGAAGTCCCCCATTGGCTCTGTGGGCCAGATCCAGTCTATGGCCCATAGGTTGCTAACCCCTCCATTGTATTTCAAGTCCCTTCCTCACACTGTGGAGATGCAAGAGCTTCTAAACGAAGCAGCTGTATGACAGAAACAAAAACCATCACTTTTTCTTCTCTTGCTAATTCCTGGAGATGTCCAAACTACTTTTGCTGAAACCGTCCAAAAAAATTTCAGCCTGAGGGTGACACCAAGCCTGGAAAATTTCAGCTCATAAAATCTTGCAAGACTGTAGGCACTTGAAAAAAACAAAACAAAAAAACCTCTTTATAATGGAAAGTTTTGGGTAACTTGAAGTATAGGTAGCACCATCAGCAATACCTATAATGTGGTTTTGTGTCTGTTGGTACATGTGACTACTGCACATGTCTAACCTCATTTATTCCTTTGGTTTTTCCCCCGGAGTTGACTTCCAATTACTACCTATGACCTTTTATATTCTATATCAGTGGGAACCAACCTTTTTGTCAAGTGTACCACAAATTAGCACCCTCCTCCTTTTCCTTGAATTAGCACCACTCCAATTACTTTCCCCTACCCAATCTGCTGCTATGTTTTCTGCTTCTTGCCTTCTGCTCCTCACTGGTCTTATGCTCTGCTTTCTGCTCCTGGCCCTATCTACCATTGTGCTTCCTGTCCCCTACCCAATCTGTTACCCATGTCACTTATGGCACCTGTGCTGCAGGTTAGCTACTCCTGTTCTATATCACTACTTAGAGGGAAGATGAAATTCCTTCAAAAAAAGCAGGCCATGGAGTCAACAGTAGCCACTTATTTTGCAAAAAATCTACATACACGTGTCCTACTAGGGCAGTGCTTCTCACCTGTTTACAGTCAAGGCACCCCTTGTTAGATTCAAGGCACCCCTCAGAAAATGCCAGCTTCATAGATTTCATAGACATTAGAGCTGGAAGGGACCTCAGAAGATCATCGAGTCCAGCCCCCCACCCAAAGGGCAGGAAGTCAGCTGGGGTCATAGGATTCCAGCAAGATAAACATCCAGTTTGCTCTTGAAGGTGTTCATTGTAGGTGCTTGAACCACCTCCGATGGCAGGCTGTTCCAGACCTTGGGTGCTCAGACAGTAAAGAGCCTGAAACAGTTCCAGCCTGAAACAGTTCAACCTCGTCATCCCTTGGGGTGCTCTGGTAAACAAATGTTCCCTCAGATACTGGTGGTCACCTCTGATAAACTTATAGGTGGCCACCAGATCACCCCTGAGCTTGAGCTTTTGCAGGCTAAAAAGCCC